ATAAAGATGAATACAGTCAGAATAATAGCTCTTATACCACTATGCGTCCATGTGTTAATTTCATGCTTTGTAAATGCTTTACAAACGGCGTATCATTCTTTATTCCACAACACTGTTTCAGGCTAACAACAAAACAAAATTGGTAGCATAGTGGTTACCGTTTTCGCTTGCCAAGTAGAAGGTCGCGAGTTCAATCTCAACGTGAACCCTTTTTTTTATTTATTGTCTACGCCTAATTAATTGAAATCGTAATCATTGATCGTATCACTCACGACAACCAATTCATCGATCTATCGAAAAGAATAGCCCAGAATCCATCGAAATTAGAGAGATGGAGAGGAAACATTGGTCTCATGAAAAACAACGATGAATGAAATAATCATTCTCACATCTCCTTGAATAAGCTAGAGTTACGGCTGGGAGTGCGGATAGGTATTCAGATTCAAGCTTTTATTGTTTATTTAGCTCATGCGATGTATTCTAGGATAGCTCAGATGGCAAGACAAGCGGCTGGTGATCGGAAGGTCATAGTTCGAATCCCATCTAACGGCATGTGTGTGTGTGTATGTAATAAATTTTCTAGTATCTGTGTGGTGGATGGCTTGCTTCGACAAAAATAATGACATATTGTGTCACTAACGAGAACAATCCTGCTCTGTGCCGTTCTTATTTTGTCAATCAGTTTTGGCGTGACTAACTTTCTACCTGCGATTTCACAAAACTGGACCAACTAATTTTTATTTTATTATGAAACGCACAAATCTTGGCTACTTTTCTCGAGGTTCTAGAAGAAAAAAATCTCAAAATAATGATTTATTTCAAAGTTGGTAGTGGTAGTAAACGTGATTTTAACTGCTCGAATGAAGTGGTTAATTAAACATTATTTTACATGAGAATCAAACGTTTATATACACCTTTATATCATCGCTGTTAAAGGAAGTAATGATGTCTTATAAACGATGAATAATCAAAAATTTGATCGAATAAGCTCTGTTGCAACTCTTGTAATTCGAATAAATGCTTCTCGACATACCTTATTCAACACCAAATATTTCGATGTTGTGGTTGAATAAATTCTCCAGATTTGTGTGAACAAAGCCTGAACAGGAGTTATTATTTAAAATAGTACAAGTATTATTAAGCATGCAGTTGAATAAAATCGTCAAATAGTCGTTTCTTCAATAGGCAATTCATTGTTGGGTAGCCAAATTTGATATATTGTAACAATGTTCTGTAACAATGAATTAGCTGAAATTTTTACACAGAACTTCAAATATGCTGAATTTTACTTATATATGAAAATCAATTTTTTGGAAGGACCTACGGAAATCAGCGCGATTGTTGAGAGAATTGAAACTTCGTGTTACGATGTGATGTTATTTTGAATTTTGTCAACCAATCTCAAATCTATTCTGGTCTAGACGCTCTCTATTCTGGTCTATAATAAATATCGGACCACTCCTACACGTTTATACTTCCTTAAAGCACAGACAAACAGAAGTAACTCTTTGAAAAAGTTTTTCTTGAAAACATAGTATCTCAAAACATATGACCTCAGTAACGACATCTCTTGGGCTTCTCGCGGAAAACAAGCTTGCTTGCTAGCTCGCAAACAATATTGCATAAAAGTTCTATAGAATGTATAGAAACGTCAAAGTGATCCGATGCCAACGCTGCGGCGAGTAGTTCGCGGAACTGATAATATTCAAATCAACCGTTAAATGCATGAACGAAGATACACAATGAAGAGTTTCGTCTGTTTGTCTGTGCTTAAAGTATCATCTCGATGATTTCATGTCATTCATGATAACATTCATCATTGTTGGCCTCGCTCTACAGATTATCTCCGAGATTCTCTCGACTAGTTCTGGAACCACATACCGCCTAACAGGGTTTTGTTTTTCTTCTATAAAACCAAATTCCTTCCTATTTTACCCTTTTTCTAGAAGGAAATTTATCCCTGAATACGTCTTTCAGTCGCATCACCTTGCTTTAAGGTTTCGGTAGATGTCACAGAACTTTTGCGCTCCGTAGATATCCTCATGACTAATGCAGGACGGTCCAATAGAACAGATATTAGTCGATGTAACGATGACCAATAATCACGATCATAAACCGGGATTGTAACTCTTCGAAGCATTCCCGATTTCCGATACGGAATGTTTGCATAAGCTGAAAATATTAATACCCTTATTGACGATCCTGAGGAGGAATTAGTCTGAAGCCACTGAAAAGGAGAACGCTTTGTTTATGTTCCGCTCCGCATCACACACTCACGGGCTGTCAAAATTTACTACCGAAGGCGAATGGCAATGATACATATGCTGGACAGCCGTTGTAAATATCAATTACTTTAATACGATTTTGACTGTGAAAGCTATTGCTTATTTATAAGAAAACAAATAGAACTCAATCATATTTAGTGTTTCCTTTAAGTTTGTGCTATTTTATAGCGTAAATGAATGTATTATTGCATTAGCAATGAAATAGTGTGATAGACCATAATACCATAGATGTAACTCTAAGACTAGTAGGTCCCGAAGAAACGAACTCAACTTTTTGGCTCATCTCTGGTACTATCTTCGGTCCCAAGCTAATCGATGCACCCCTCGAAATATAGGAAAATCCACGAACCCCTCATTTAATCTGTCTAACTTTCATAGCGAATTAAAACAAACATTGCTTAGTACTAGAATTTCGACTAGAATGGGGTACGTTAATCGTTTGATTGGGACCAATATGCTAGTCAAGTGGTGAGCCAATTTAAAATCCTTAGTTTCGTATTGATTGTTGATAATACGGTCATGTACAATAGTGCATCTAGCGACATCTGTTGCAAACATGTTCGAACTGAGTTTAAATTTTATTCCAACAGGTGGAGCTAGCGTAGCAACACTAGCGCTCTGGGTGGCAAAGAAGTGCAGAAACGACTTCCAGCGTTCAATTGCCTGACGCGCACGGTGCTCGGGTCAATGTGATAGAAGCTCGAATTCACTTCTCTTTCTTGTACCTCTTCATACCGCTCCAGAGCCCGCTCATAGCTCTTAGTGACTTTTACTTCAATCCATTGTCTGGTTTCTCTATCAAAGGGGTCATAAACATGCGATGGAACAGGAAGCTGATGTAATTTGCAAATCGAGTTTATTATCCTGTTAACATTAGGCAACCCTTCCAGTAATGTGTAACGGTAGTCAGCTTCTGATACTTGAAGGCTAGATACAGTGTCAACGCCCATTTCAAATCTGTGAACTGAGTGTAATATTTTTGTTTCTCGGAAGTCTATTTTTTTTCCTTTGGTTTGTTTTTTCCGTCGATCTTGTTTTCCGTGCTGAGCACCAATGCTACCGACGTGCCAGGAAGGCAGCTCCCACACCTGGACCCTACCTATCGACCCATCAACTCATGAACCGGGGACCAACGGCTTTACTTCCCATCCGAAGGAAGGCGTGATCAGAGATGTTATGCCTCAGAACATCCCGGCGGAGCCGACTGGGATTGAACCCAGGCCTGCTGGGGTGAGAGGTAATCACGCTTACCACTACACCACCGGCGCCGTTGCCTCGGAAGTCTAATCGATTTGCAGTATTGTTCTGCATAGTATTCCTAATCTATTTCCGACATTTGGTGAAATTTGAGCAACATTTGAATTTTTGGCAAGCAAATGAAGGTTCGTTTTGTTTCTCATACAACATTCAAAATTCTCCCGAAAAATCCAGATCATAACCAAATTCAAACAAAGTTGACAATACAGTGGAAGTAATAAGTGGAAGAGCAGTGGGGAACAGGAGGTTGAGATCCACCATAACCTCCTGTTCCCAATTTTCCATCCTACCATGGCGAGGCATACGAACTACTGCTTTATATGCCATTAAAACTTGGCCTCTCGCAGCCATCTTAAAAAAGGCTTGATGATAAAGATTTAGGGTATGGGATTAAAATTTTGAAATGCTTCTAACACCTAACTTTAATAATTTATTTAAAGTACTTCATTCAAACAATGTAAAGCCCTGCCAAATTAAAATCGGTACGCTTTTTTGTCCGTTACAGCGCTCCTAGTGGTCGGTCCTAGAATTTTTTGGCATATATTTGTTTACAATCTCTTTCTTTTGAAATCCTTATTATTATTATTAAAAGTTTATGTTTTCTAGAATTGCCACGCGATGGATGAAAAAGAAGAGAATTAATTATGTCCGACATGGCTGGCTAAGAGGATCGCCCTGTAACGTGGGTAGATCACCTTTTCGTGGGGATATTACGGGATGTAAGATCTAACACCGATTCCTAGTCCTGACTACTTCAAACTAGGGGAAAAGGATTTTTCAGTAATCCAAGGAACACATCTTAGTCCTTGTTACTTTTTATGCCTTGTTGATAGTGACAAGACTTGGCTTTGTCCACCGAGGATGATCTTGAAACAAGGATAACATGAGTTAGTCTTCATCTATGTGATTTCTTATCTTCTATTCGTTGTTCCCTAGTTTGAAGGGGTTAAGACTAGGGTTCTGATGAATGGTCATTATCGGTGTCTTCCTTAATTTTGTTGCTAAGGAATCCAATTTTGACTGACAAAGGAGCGCGCCTTTGGAGGGTGTTTCAACACTTCTATGGATATAAATAGCGAGACCTTTCAATTAGATTCGGATCCTTGCGATAAATGCAAGGATGACAACTTTAAAACAATCTAATACTTCATAATTTCTCAATAGTAATGGATTAATACGACATGCACATGCAACAAACTCGGTGCTCTTCGTAGTACAGTTCGGAATATACGCATTCGGGAGGGTTTGCTCAAGTATCGGACCACAGACAAACAGACATAACTCTTCATTGTGTATCTTCGTTCATGCATTTAACGCCGCAGCGTTGGCATCGGATCACTTTGACGTTTCTATACATTCTATAGAACTTTTATGCAATATTGTTTGCGAGCTACCCAGCACGCTTGTTTTCCGCGAGAAGCCCGAGAGATGTCGTTATTGTCATATGTTTTGAGATACTATGTTTTCAAGAAAAACTTTTTCAAAGAGTTACGTCTGTTTGTCTGTGATCGGACTATTAAGAAACTGAACCAGACCGTAAAGCAAAACATTACGACCAAAACGCGGGCCCGGAAGCCAAATTGGCAGGGTTTTAAGCATTTTAAAACGTGAATCCTAAGCCTCACCTCAGAAATTTTGAAATCTGCATCATCAAACCTTGACTCTTGAGACATCTTGGCCCTACGATATACTAACTATAGACACTGGATTCAATACATTTTTATTAAATTGCTATGAGCTCACGTTCATTTATTATTTCAGTAAAACGTACTGTTGGACATATTTTGCATAAAATCTATCCTTAACCAGACTGCTTTGGAATCGAACTTTGTATTTTGTGCCTCCAATGGTGAAGCAAACTTTCCCATCACTCTTCTTACTTTTCCTCAAACGCATCGGTTGACCCCTACCACTAAATCTATCGAAAAATACTATGCAATCTAAGTGCTCAATATGCTTGGAGCATCTCTTCTCGACACTGTAGCTCACACAAATCGCTGCACGTTCGCATATAAAAATCTTACAATTACTTGCTTCCAGAACGTCTGATTTCACTTTAGCTCGTTCACTATCCACCACCAAACCGCATCCAATAACACCATCATCCAGGCAAAACAATTTATGGTTATCACTAACGCTTTGTGAAAATTTCTCCACTTCCACCTGTACGATGGCAAGCTGATGGAATAGGGATTTATCGATTGGCAAGTTACGTGTACTCTTGTCCGATAGGTCTGCAGTCAATGTTCCAAAAAAGTGAGCAAATTCTTCCAGTCGTTCAATGCAGAGCAAAATGAAGTCATCCACTGTGGGAACTAGAAAGCTGCTCGAATTCTGAAATTTTGTTGTTTTGAAATCACAATTTTTGAATGTTAAGTGTTGATTCAAGAACTTACTGCTGACGTAGGGCGGTTAAGAATGTTTTTTGCTGCACTGTTGCTATTCGTGAGATATTCACAGTAAATCGGAGGGAAATCAGTCTGGAATAAAAATAATAGGATAATAATTACTATCGGTACTGGCCAATGCAATCTTACCTTTACGTATTGCAGAAACATCGTACAAATTGCCTCAATGTTTAAGCCGTTCAACGACAAATCCATTATAATTCGGTCGTTATGCAAATGAAGCATTTTGAGAAACACTTGTCGAAATGTTTCTAACTGAGTTGCTTGATCGTCTACATGATTGAACAAATAAAAAACGGAATTTGCTCTAAGAATTTGAACGAACCGTATTTGAGAGGAAATCAATGCTCTGATATTTTTGTTGAAGTCTCTATAACAAAACCGTAGTAATTAGTATATCGGTAATCATGGATAACGAATATTTTAACACGTACAAATCGTAATGGAGAGCTGTTTCGTGAATCGGCATCAAATCACTTCCATTGAAGTCGATCAATTGAGGTTCATTAAAAAATTGAGAGATGGCTTTTTGGCGAATTGTTTTCACGGTGTCAGCAAGGGTTTTGTTGAATCGCATCTGAATCTCCTGCGTCCCTCGGTGAATACAGAACAGATGTAGTTTTTTGGAGTCCTCCCAGTAGTTAATTTCTGAGTCAAAATAATGACCACGGTACTGCAAGCTATCCTTGACAATCTCCGTGTAGATGATCAATTTTTCAAATACAAAAAATCGCGCTTTGTACCTCCGATATCGGCTCTCATCATGGATTTCAGTTTCTAGAATGCGCTGAAATTCTCCTTGGGAAAATAGATCGATCTAAAACCAAAAGTTTGCGATTTAATTTTTGATTACCTAAAGGTAAATGTACTAACCGGATTATTCCTCGAAAGAATTTTGTTACCTTTGGGTTTCAAAATCAAAGTGGAAGGCAAATCGTTCTGGAGATTGAAGCCTGAGATGGATCTTGAAGAGGACGATACAAAAAACTCGTTGGCGCATTGGGGAATGTCGCTTATCGACACAGCTGCATTCAATAGATCAACTAAATCACTTAGTCTTTCCTGAGCCTTGTGGATGGAGGATATTCGGGAAGCTGTGTAATGGCTTTCACCAAAATCCATAGTTTCTTTGAGAAACTTGTCCAGAAATAGTTTGTACCGTGGAAGTCGCTGAATTGGTTGAAGCAGAAAGCTGTTCAAATCGTGTTGAATGGACTGCAAAAGAATTTATTTTAATTTAAACCGATTGATCAATAAACATCAATCTATGAAAATAGTGTCATTACCGAAAAGAAATCTCTATGCAATTCAAAAATCATGTTGGCTTTCCGTCGATTCATGGCGTATTTCATGTAGCAGTAGAATTTTTTAGTGTCTATGAAATGAATAATGCATTCAGCTATTTGGTCCACATTTCGATGGCATCGTTGCAGTGCTGGTAGGAAATCATCCTGATGCAGTTCGTGGATCTCTTCAATGTTTCCGAACAAATTGTTCCGCTGACCACTCAATCCTTCCGGGAGATTCAATTGGTATAGCAGGGGGATATAATTCAATATACCATGCAGCAGGTTGTCGATGTACTTTTGTTCATTCTGTCGTAGCTCATCGGATGCATTTTCTGGAGGTTTATTGTTACGGTCAACATAAGGTTTTATTTCTTGGACTATGTGTGGAATACTGGGAACTGTTTCCTCTTCAGAACTGAAATCAAGACCATTGGTTTATGCTCAATTACTTACGTAACGTCTTACATACTCGGTATCAAATGTAGAGTCGCTCCAGTAGCCGTCAGCCTCTTCACTGTATGAACCAGAAGTGCTGGATCTGAAAATGAATGGATAACAGCAAATACAGTTCATAGTTTCTTTGAAATACCATAATAAGGTCTGTATCCACATTAATTCGGACACATTAAAATCATTTTAACTTATGAAATATTGCACGTAGGAGTGAAAAATTTCGCTGAGGAGCTGGGAGCTGGGAGTCATTGATGAAAAAGACTATGATTGGTGTTTACATTCCATATTTAGTGTTAAAGATGGGGACGAATGAAAAACATGTGCGCGAGCGGATTTTGTACGGACGTAATGCAAATCCTGACTTGTCAATACGAGAACTTGCAAAAAAATTAGATTTACCTAAAACACACTTCAAGGTGTGCTCAAATCATTTTCGGAACGAGGAAACCGAGAAGTGATAAAAACATTGGACGTTCTGAATACTGGTGAAGAGGATATTGAAGGAAAAAACTCAAATCTCTGCAAGTTGTCTCTGCGGGGTTGTCAACAAACGACTTAGCATTACGTCAGATTGTTGAGGAAAAAACGTTCTCTTTTATTTTAATTATCTGAAACTCATATTGTAGAAACTGAAGCTTTCGATCAGTATGGTGTTCCGGTATATATTGTTGCTGCTTGTTTATCACAATCTAGACACACTGGCGGTGTTGCTATGTCAAATGTCAAATAATCAGTTCAATTCAACCTTCGTACCAACGAAGTTATTGATGATAACTGGTTCTTGGGCATTACAGTTGTGCGTGGCATGAAGATGGGTAATTATGGTGTTTTGTATCATTCTCCCAGTTCTAGTGACCAGCGTTTCGTTGAAGTTTTAGCGAACCGGCTCGAGATATTTCTTGATTCTAGTAAATTAAATATATTGGCTGGTGATTTTAATATTAATTGGCGTGATAACCATAATTTGAATCATTTGACGGGTTTAGCTGAGTTTTTCAATTTAAAGCAAACGGTAAATGAGTATACGCGTATTTCCAGGCACAGTAGAAGTTAAATCGACCACGTTAATTCCAATTTTGATTCAATTTGTTCAGTTACGGATACTGATTTAAAAATATCCGATCATGAGATCTTAGTGATTAAATATATGATTAATGTCTTAGACCATGTTAACGATAACGATAATTTTGTAAAATTGAAGTACTGGAAGAAATATTCGAAACCGGCTGTTTCAAATCTTATTGAGAGGAGCGTGGATTTTCCATTCGCGACCGGTAACTTAGATGAATATACAGCTGTTCTTAATAACGCTTTTAAAACGTGTACCAATCAAATAGTTTAGCAAAAAATTGTTTCTTTGAAAAACTCGAACAGCTAGTACAATTTGGATCTTTTACGTCTTAATCGGAAAAGGGCCAAATGGGACAAAAAGTTTTGTATATAAAATAATGACAATCATTGGAATAGGTACACAATCGTGCGTAATAAGTATTCACAATCGATAAAGAAAACTCCTTGTGAATATGTTCAAAGAAAGATTGATCAGCATCAAAACAGCAGCAAAGAGTTATGGAAAATTTTGAAATCTTTTTTAAAACCTAGTAATTGCAAACCGCGGTTCATAACTTTTAATGGCATATTAGAACAGTCAGAACAAGTAATTGCATCTAAGTTTAATGATTATTTTGTAGACAGTGTTTCATTGATTAATCAATCAATTGAAATTGTCGATCAACCTGATGAAATAAAATAGCCAGTACACAGATAAAAATTCTGAATTTTAATTGTGATGTAAACATTCATTCACGTTAACTTGTATTTCATCTCACGCAACCGAGCAACTTGTAAACAATGTTGTTTACAAAGATGGGCTTTTGTATACAATAGGGTTAACTACCCCATATCCGGCCTATTAAGCACAACCCGCACTTAGTATTGCTTAATCATGCGCAATTTATCACCAAACGGAATGTTATTATTATTACTGATGGCTTCAAATTTTTTTTTAATCTTTCCGTACGTACCGTAAGATTTCATAAAGAGAAACCAATCGTTGAGATATTGTCAAAAGTCTAACACTTCTTCTTGACGTCAAACTCGGCCTAAGGATTCTAAACTCGGCTTACGCATTGAAACGCCATTGAAACGCCAATGAATTCACTTCGGCCAATCGGATGAAGATAAAAATGGATTCGGTCGAAGCGCTTCTTTTGTTTTTGGGAATAATGGGTGCCAACCTTCATATCACGCGTTCTCATTGACTTCGTTCCGTAGCTTATTAACTAAAGTATCGTATCAAACGCATAATTGACTTGTTAACTCTGAAATCATGGATTTATTTGATGTTTTCTGCTCGATAGGCCCAAAATGGGCGATTAGGCCGAAGTAGTTCTCTACCCTATTTGCTACATTGCATGAATTGTGTCAGAGCTTTACATGATATATAATGTAAACGTATATGATATGTGACGCTCCATTTATGTGCATCATACTGAACAGAAATTTACACTACTTTTTCGAACTGTGTAGTTGTAGATTTGAAGGTTTTCATCCAATTATATTAGATGAACTTAGAGTTATTTTTAATCATTAGGAAAATCGGCTGGAGTAGATAATGCTAATGCTAGAGTTATTCAAGATTGCTTTCATGTCATCGGCCACATCTTGCTGGACCTTATTAATGAATCATTACAAACTGGACATGTGCCACAAATTTGGAAGGAATCCATAGTGGTCCCTATTCAAAACGTTGCTGGAACGATTAAAGCCGAAGAGTTTCGTCCCATCAACATGTTGCACACATTAGAGCAAATTTTAGAACTTGTTGTTAAAGGCCAGTTGTTGGAGTATTTAAATACTAATAGTTTGTTGATATCAGAACAATCGGGATATCGGAAAGGCCATTCTTGTGAAACCGCGTTGAATTTGGTATTAGCGAAGTGGAACAATAACTTGGAGTTTTCCAAAGCGCTTGATTGATCTTAACAGTAAGGGCCTAGAAATTGTTTGAAAAGCGCGTTCAAGATCAAAAAAAAAAACTGTTTTGTTGTGCTGTTTTTTTTTTGATCTTAAACGCGCTTTTGAAACAATTTCTAGGCCCTTACTGTTAAGATCAATCAAGCGCGTTGGAATTACGAATACTGCATATAAATGGTTTGAAAGCTATTTGTCTGACAAATCTCAACGGACTGTTTTAATTATTCTGTTTCCAGTCCCGTGGGGGAATAATCTTGGACTGCCCCAGAGAAGTGTATTAGGGCCCCTGTTATTTATTATGTATATTAATGACTTGCGACGTGTTTTACGATATTGTGATATTAATCTTTTTGTAGATGATACCCATTGGGGTGTTAGAAGGCAGTCACGCTTACCACTACACCACCGGCGCCGGCCCTTGACCTCTTGAACAACGATGCCGAAGACAGTACCTTTCAATCTGGTTGGGAACTTTTATATGAGAATTTCACGTGTATACTAGCGTCGCGTAGTGAGCAAATTCTGGACTATTGAGTACCAAGCAATAGGCTTTGATCTCCTGAAAAACTTTGTGAAAGACAGTAACTTTCTATCTGGTCAGGATCTCGATATATTCCATGTTGTAATCAATTAAGTCAAATCCCACGTATTATGGTCACAGTTTTCGCGGTTTCCATTTACTTTTTCCCTATTATCCTCATTTTTTAGGTGTTTACTGTAATTAAAGTTTAGCTTATTTAGATCAAAACAAGTTTTTTGATGAATACTCGTTCGTTTGAGATCGATTGATAACTCAGCAACAAAATGGCAATGGAAAATTATTTTCGTTGTACAAAGTACAACAGCGCCAGTAACGGAGGGTTAAGGAGAATGGCAGGAGAATCAATCGAAAGTTAAGAATGTAGCTCAACATTTACAATAATATTATACCAAATTTTCATGTGCGTAGTCCACTGCAACAGCCGAACGTACAAATGAATAGGGTGACCATAGCGCATTTTAAAAAAGGTCGGAAGTTTGTATGACTGTTTTAATCAACAATTACGAAGAAACCATAAAGCCTACAATGTAACTACCAAAGGCACAAATCTAGGGAAAATGTTTTGTAGAACAACTTAATTAACAGTAATGAAAATTTTCAACTTAAAATCACTAAAATGTACGAAATTTTACCAGTTTTTTTTTTTTTTGTACTTTCATGTATGATAATTAACTGATCTGATCTGAAGATGTAAAATTGCATTTTTTATCAAAAAAAAAAAAAAAAAAATACATAAATAAATTGAGTTGCGAATTGATATGGAACCGCTCTATTGATGTAAATATCGACGATGAACATTTTGAAGAACATATTGACGCAAAATCAAAAATGTTTTATATCATGTTTCAATATTTCCCCTCATTTTCCCCTTCTATTGTACTACAGGAGCAAATGGGGCCTGTTCCTCTTTAACTTTTGTCCAAGGTGGTTGTGATTTGACTCGGAATCTCCCATCGGATACAACCATTTTAGTGAGGAGTAACCCTGTATTGATGACCCCACCAATAGTTTTGAGTTTAAAATATTGACATGAAAGTATTGATGGAAATATTGATGATGCGCTTTACGCACCACACGTGGAAAAATATTTTCAATACTTTGGCATAACATTCATGCCTTTTATTTTACGTTCGTTTTAAAGAGTTCGCGCGCGTACGGACTTAGGACTTTCTTTACTCGATGCGAAGCCTGATTGGAGAAATCCAGCAGGGTCGCAGAGAAAAACTTGAACTTGATTTCAAAGAGTAGATATGCTGCAATGGATAATCCCAGCAGGGTCGAGCTTTGAAATAAGAATCCTCTGTTTATTAGTAGTAAAATTATGTTTATTTCTGATGATTATGATAGTACATTGATTTAACATTTTAATTGATTAGCCTACCTGGCTCGTCATCTCTGTTTAGTTTGATATTCTAATTCAATATTTGCGTTTTTGTGTTTTGTTTGAATTGAAAAAGTGAAAACCTACCTAACTACGAGTATAACTTAACCTAACGTGCTAGATCACGTATGATCTGATGATTTGATCTCAGACAGGTGTATCCGAACCTTTCCAGGTTAAATACTCTCCGTTCTTCTTATGTCTGAATTTCAGCCAGGAGGTGGATCTCAGAATTTCTAGTCCGCGGGGAACTGTTTAGGACCATCCTAATGATCTTGTTCTGGATCCTTTGGAGTTTAAGGTGATGTCATTTGGCGCAACTCTCCCAGATTGGCATCCCGTATTATAATTACGGGAAGGATGATTTGTATGTAGACAGCGAGCTTATTTTTCAGGGATAGAGTAGACCTCCTGTTGATGAGTGGATACTAGACTGATGCAAAATTTGAAATATTCGCTCCACAGTGCTCTAACGGTTTCAAATCAGGTCCTGATTAGCCTCCCAAATTTTGAACTCATTTGGTAAGAAACTGACTTGGCACAAACTATTCGATGTTTATATGGAAATTACTATAAAACCAAGCTTTTTGTTCATTGTCTTCTACCCATTTTACATATTGCTTTTTCGAAAACTTCTATAATTATTCTTACGGGAAATTTTCTAAGCTACAACTTTGTGGAATATTGTTTTTCAGCCAAATGTCAAATTAAATTGTTATTAATTGTTTAAGAGATTGATAATCTTATGGCATGATCAAACAGCTGTTCTGTGGGCAACACTGTATTCTGCAGTGTGACATAGTAGCCATGATATGTGTGCTCTATTCTTCGCACCAGAAACACCAATGTTGCCTGCTCAACAGTTGAATGAGCATAATCATAAGACATCAGTGACTTGAATCATTAAAAACTTTTGTTCCGTACATTTGATTGAAAAGTGGTTTTGAACAAAGTTGTAGCTGAGAAAATTTGCTACAATCACTGCTATCTTTTTTAAAAGCATAGTGATGTGGTAAATTGTTAGATAGATATGAACAAAAACATATGTTTTCTCATAGTAATTCCCATATAAACTTGAAATGGTTTGTGCCAAGTCAGTTTCTTACTAAAGTAGTTCAAATTTTAGGAGACTAAGCAGGACCCAATTTGGAACCTTTTAAGCACTGTGGAGCGAAAATATCAAATTTTGCATCAGTCTAATGGATACAGTGATCTTATCAAGATGTTACACTTGGTTTTGGTTTTGTCAACGTGCTCCCTGAAAATCAGCTTGCTGTCTGGTGTTAGCCCGAGGTACACGACCTCTTTGGACCATTCCACCACTGTGCCGTTCAGGCAGATCTTGTTATTCTCCGACGGAACAAGTCTAGGAGATTTAGATTAGAGTGTGGAAAGATAATGACCTGGGTCTTTGCCGCGTTGAAACGGATCTTCCAGCTGTTGAAATATTCAGACAGAAGTTTGGCAGTCAGAGCTCCGATGACCCTACCCTTGTAGAGGATGGATGTGTCATCTGCGAACAGAGACAACGATCCACTATCAGGGAGAGCCGGCATATCGGAGGTGAACAGGTTGAATAGAATGGGGCCAAGGATGCTTCGTTGTGGAACAAGCACCGATGTTGAAAGCATCCGATGTGATGCCATTCAGAGAGATTCGGAACGTCCTGTTCGATAGATAGTTGTTAATTATCTTCACTAGGAAGATTGGAAGACCGTACTGCTGCAATTTGAACACCAGGCCATCATGCCAGACATTGTCGAATGCTTTTTCAACGTCCAACAACGCCATGGCAGATGTTTTCGAAACAGACTTGTTCCGTCTGAGAATGTTTGTTACTCGAGTCAGCTGGTGGACGGTCGAACGACCTTTCCGAAAACCAAACTGTTCTTTGAGTAACAAGTTGTTTTCTTCGGCAGATGTTACACACTAATCGAGTCAGTAAGGTTTTACCGAGTTTTTGAATTGCGGAACTGTCGGTAAAAGTTTAAAAATCTGTGGAAAATTTATTAATGAGAACATTTGTTCTGAACTTGTACATACTTAGTTCTGTTAACCCCATTTAATGATAGAAAATAAAATTGGTCGATTTCATTGATTCCTTACGGATAACGGTCATTTGAATTTTTACCGACTTTTTCAGCAATTCAAAAACCCAGTAAAAAATACTGACTCCTGTAAAAAAATCTTAGTGTGTAGGAGCCGGTGGTAGACTGCTCTTTCGAACAGTTTTGATAACCCTGAGAGAGGGCTTATTGGTCGGTACATTGAAGGAGAGGACGGATCCTTCCCAGATTTTCGATGGGTATGACTGTAGCTGACTTCCAGACACAAGCCGGAGGCACAGATTAAAAATCAGTGCCAGATGGTTGTAGAATCTGGAGCTCAAGTGTTTGAGTTCCAGATTCAGGATGTTGTCGAAACCTGGGGCCTTCATGTTTTTAGATGATTTGATATAGGCTAACAGTTCGTCAGTCATAATCTCGGATTCCTCGGAAACATATTGGGAATCTGGTAGGTTGCGTTTTCAGCAACCTCAGCTTCGTGAGGGCTGACGATGTTTTGTCCGAGATTATAAGAGCTGACGAAGTGTTGACCTATCTCTTCAGGAGCCTCTGTTTATTCAAATGCATTTTCCTTTTTATACCATTTGGTGTACAATGGTACATGTATGTTGAAAAGAGTCATTTGGTTAAAAAAGTGAGACGACTGGCGTGACACAAAAATGCTCATCCTAGCAATATTAGGAATAATGGATATATTTGGGTTGAGTGCCTGGCGTTGACATTCGAAACCTATCTTGCTGCGCGAACATCCTTGCCTCACACAGGATAGAGGACGAGAAAGCGCTGCAGTTCTAGTAACGAGTGGCAAACATATGGGTCACTTGAAGTTGCATAAATGCATTCTTGCCCGAGCAATGGCTCGGTGCCTGCAGTGGATAATTAAATAGACTGGTACACTTTGGTTATGGTTTTGTTAACAGAGTGGGAATAGTATACTACAATACTCTACAATATTGACATATGCAAATTTTGACGGCGAAAATATTGAAAAACATATTGACGCAAAATCCAAAAAGTTTGATTTCATGTTTCAATATTTCCCCTCTTTCCCCCTTCTGTTTGACTACAGCAGCAGATGGGGCCTGTTGCTCGACAACTTTTGTCAATGTGGTTGTGATTTTACTCGGATACAACCATTTTAGTGAGTAGCAACCGTGTATTGATGACCCCACGGATAGTTTCGTGTTGAAAATATTGACAATATTGGCAATATTGATGAAACTTCTTGCATGTGGGGTGTACTTTAGACACATCAATTTTTCCGACTCGATCGTGTATCTCAGAAATTAAAAAAAAAACACTACAAGAGACAGCCCTATGGGCTTGTACGCAATGGTGACGCAGGAATACTCATCACGCGGTAATTGAATAAACACCGTTTGGTGAGACCGGATGGAATTCAACTTTGAAATCTGTGTTAGCGATTTTCGCAGTCAATCGGTGATAATTTTAATTATCATAGCAACAATTGCACATGCGTGCAATTTTCAATAGTGACATTTTTAAAAATGATAAAGTCTTTAACAGATGCGTATAATTATTTCTGATCCATTTTTGATGAAATTATTGAAATTGGTCCAGGGGCAGCTGAGTTATTGACGTTCAAAATCTTTCATAATTTTGTTACATGTTCCATTTTCGATTTTCATAAAGTGTACCCCAATATAGAAATTACAGACGTAGTCCTACGCCAAAAATCCTGGACAATGAACTGCAGCTCGACATGTCGCTAATGAAAAACAGTGAAAATAATCCAACCACACAATGTGTAGAACGTTATGTATTTGAGTATGCACAGTAACGTAGCGGCAGGAAGGCTCACTGCAGCTCACCACCATTTCATGGAATACGAGGGGAAGAAGATCTCGATTCCGATTCACGCCGAGAGCAGTTTCGGGCGCTTAAATTATTTTCCAGGCGGCATGGCTAATGTAGCTATCATTGACTACATGCGTCAGTGTGGTAAAGTGATAGCCATTGCTAAATAGCATATTGATTTTTATATCACTTCCACTCAGTTTATTGTGATTACGATGTCCTACCAAGGATTGATTATAAAATCAAAAATACTGCCAAAAAAAAATATCGAAACATATAGGATGAATCCCTTATCTCATACCTCGAGGTGCAAGCGATAACGCGTGAATTCAATCGTCTGACGATTATCTTGGGTATTACTGATGCGAATTGTTCAATCATTTAACTAACCTTACCTGATGGGGATTTCTTCGTAAATATGTTCAAAACCCTCAGTTGAAGGTGCTTTTCTGGTGCAATTCGAATAACTGGATGTAGGTTCTTCGGCAGAATGTGTAAACACTTGAAACTGTTTCACCAAATCCCGCACACTATTGGGTCTAACTATACTTCCCGGCGAGCTTTTTTGCCTAACAATGTCACTGTTTGCATAATCGATTCTTCTGGGAGGAATTGGAGGAGGAGTACTCGAATAGATCCTAGTTGATACCGGTCGCGGGGGCAATGGTGGTAATGAAACGCTTCTGTTTATTCCTGCCATCTTTGGTTGTTTCGATCTTTTAGATCATCGATCAAAATTCGAAGTAGTAGCTAGTAGTCGCAATGTTCCAAGTCAAACTGAATGAATTTTGTGTTTTTCGCACGACACTGAGCTTTATCAGTGAAAATCTATAAGTGTGTAAACACTTCAAATTGATAAGTTTATTCGTCGATTTTTGCTGTGCTATAGATAAGGAAAGGAACAGTTTGATTAAACATTGCAGGTTGCAGGTGGCTGTTTTAATAGCCAAGATTTTGATTAATTTTATTTATTTATATTTTGTATATCGAGATGACTCATGGAAATCTGGTTAAGATGTTAATATTTGAGTAAATTAATATTAAATTGTCTAGCTCAGTGGCTTTTAACCGTTGATGTCCATGCCTCCCTTTTCAAACATTGTTCATCACTGTTCCACCTTTTTTTTCCTTGATTTGTTTTCCGTCGATCATGTTTGCCGTGCTGAACACCAATGCTACCGACGCCAGGGATACAGCTCCCACACCTGGACTCTACCTATCGACCCATCAACTCATGAACCGGGGACCAACGGCTTCACTTCCCGAATGGGATTGAACTCAGGCCTGATGGGGGTTTTTTTATACAGGGGGAATCTGCTCCCAGACACCTGAGAAGATAACTCAGGGTGCGCGGGGATGGGAGAAGTAGCGCTCCCGACCCACTAAACCTTACCCTGTGCTCTTGGCCCTTGCCCTCCGCGGAACCGCCCGAAAGCATTATGGGAGGGGGCCGGTTGCGCTATGGTGCATCACACTAGTGGTGTGTCACAGACGTGACACTCGCTACTGCACAGTGAGCAGTTCTGCAGGGCCTTCCTCTTATTGTTCGCTGTTAATTGTTCGCCTGAGTTCTAGAGCAGACGTGATAGCCAGCCAACTGTCCACGGCAGCACATGACAGATGTGACCGCTTACCAGCTGCGTGTGCTTACTTACTTACTTAAGTGTCCTGAGCGCCATCCCTGGCGCAAAGGGCCAACGTGAAAGATCTCCATCCTGGGCGATTGTTTGCTTTCGCCTTGACCTGGGCCCAGGTCAAATTCCGGTCGACTTGCTTAATCTCCTTGTTTAGGCTTCGCCGCCATGAGCCCCTGGGTCTGCCTCTGCTGCGATGTCCGGCTGGATTCCAATCCAGCGCTTGTTTGCAGATTTCATTTCCGCTCTTCCGTAGAGTGTGGCCAACCCACCTCCACTTACGTTCCCGAATTTCTGTCGATATCGGCTTCTGGTGACACCGTCGATGGAGCTCGGCATTCGAAATCCAGTTGTGAGGCCACCAAGCACGAATTATATACCGCAGGCATCGGTTGATGAACACCTGCAGCTTCTGTGTGATCTCCGCTGATACGCACCATGTTTCGCTAGCGTACAGCAGTACAGATTTCACGTTAGAGTTGAAAATTCGGATCTTCGTGCGGAGACTAATCTGATTTGACTTCCAGATGTTTCGTAAACTCGCAAAAGCAGCCCTTGCCTTCTTGATCCGTGCACCTATGTCACTCTTGGTTCCGCCGTCCGACGCTATCTGGCTGCCAAGATATTGGAAACTTTCAACCTTCTCCACTTCCTGACCAGCTACCGTAAAATTGGATGGATTTCCCGTGTTGATATCCAACGATTTAGTCTTGCTGACGTTGATGTTGAGACCTGCCGCTGAGGAGCGTTCGGCGAGATCGTCGAGCTTACTCTGCATGTCAGAACGCCGTTGTGATACTAAAGCAACGTCATCCGCCAAATCTAGGTCGTTTAGATGCTCCATTGTAATAGGCTGCCAGAGCAACCCACGGTTCGGCACACGGTCGATCGCACCAACCATTATCTCGTCGATTACGATGAGGAACAGTAGCGGTGATAGAATACATCCTTGCCTCACTCCAGCGACTACCCGAATAGGGTCAGATAGGGCTCCGTTGTGCAGCACCCTGCACGTGAAAGCCTCATACTGAGCTTCGATGAGGTTGACGATTTTATCCGGAACTCCCTTGCGCCTTAGGGCGCCCCACAGGTTTTCGTGGTTGAGTCGGTCGAAAGCTTTTTCGTAGTCAATGAAAACCAAGTAAAGGGACTCTTGGAATTCGTTGACCTGCTCCAAGATTATGCGGAGCGAGACAATATGGTCCACACAGGATCTTCCAGCACGGAATCCCGCCTGCTGCCGTCGGAGAGTCGCGTCGATCTTCTCCTGTATCCGGTTGAGGATAACTTTGCATAGAACTTTGAGAACACAACACAGTAACATAATGCCACGCCAGTTATCGCATACAGTTGGGTCCCCCTTCTTTGGGACCTTCACTAAGACGCCCTGCATCCAGTCAGCCGGAAAAGTCGCGGTGTCCCAGATATTGCAGAATAGTTGATGCAACATTTGTGCAGATAGCATGGGGTCAGCTTTGAGCATCTCTGCTGATATGCGATCGACCCCGGGAGCCTTGTTGGATTTCATGGTTCGGATAGCAGCTTCGATCTCCGGTAGGGATGGCGCCTCAGAATTGACGCGAGTGATGCGTCGCACTCTTGGCGGTTCATGCCGAGATGTTGATGGCTGGTTGACCGACGAAACTTGTAGAAGCTGTTCGAAGTGTTCAAACCAGCGTTTCAGCTGATCAGTGGGGTCGGTGAGCAACTGACCAGTCGCGTCCTTCACTGGCATCCTAGGATTCATCCTTGCTCCACTCAGGCGTCGTGAGATATCGTAGAGGAGACGGATATCGCCTGTTGCTGCGGCTTTCTCACCTTCATCGGCTAGGGAGTCCACCCACGCTCGCTTATCCCGCCTACACGAGCGCTTCACTTCCTTCTCGAGAGCCGAATACAGTTGGCGGGCCTGGTTCTTCGCTCCTCTGGTTCTCGCCCGCTCTATCGCGGCTTTTGCATTTCTCCGCTCCTCTATCTTCCTCCAGGTGTCATCCGTGATCCACTCCTTTCTCTGAGCGCGCAGCTCGCCCAGGTTGTTTTCACTCGTTTCAGTAAAGGCATCCTTGATCGCCGTCCATTGCTCTTCTACGCTGCCACCATCAGGAATATCCGCAGCTCTGGTCTCCAGTTCCTCGACGAATGACCTTTTTACTGCTGGATCTTCCAATCGGCGTGTGTTGAATCGCCGTCCGAGCCGCTCCTCCCGCCGCTGGACCCGCGCGATACGAAGGCGGATCTCTCCAACGAGGAGATGGTGGTCAGACGCGATGTCGGCACTGCGTTTGTTCCGAACGTCAAGAAGGCTCCTTCTCCATTTTCGGCTGATGCAGATGTGGTCGATTTGATTTTCGGTATGTCCATCACGGGAAACCCACGTGACTTTGTGCACTGGTCGATGGGGGAAGAGCGAACCCCCGATCACCATGTCGTTATTGCCACAAAACTCTGCCAACAGCTCACCGTTTTCGCTCATTTCGCCAAGACCATGGCGCCCCATGACACGCTCATAATCCGTGTTGTCGGAGCCGATCTTCGCATTGAAGTCGCCGATGTAGATCTTGATGTCACCTCTCGGAATTTTATCCACGACTGCATTCAGTTGACTGTAAAAGTTCTCTTTGTCCTGTAACTCGGCAGCATCGGTTGGCGCATAACATTGGATTATGGTTAGGTTGCGAACCCGCGTTCTGAATCTGGCAACGATTATCCTCTCATTGATAGGTTCCCACTTGATGAGCGCCGCATTTGCTTGGGCGCTAAGCAGGAAACCAACTCCACGGTGGCGGGGAGCGTTTTCACCTCGAATACCAGAATAGAGTAGTACCTGTCCCGACGGCAGCTTGTGTTCTCCAAAGTTTGGCCAACGGACTTCGCTTAGTCCCAGGATTTCGAGCTTCATGCGTCGAGCCTCGCTGGCGAGTTGTGCCAGCTTCCCCTGTTGGGCTAGCGTTAGTACATTCCATGTTCCAATTCTTGTCCGTTGTTTTGCGCTAAAAGTCGTTGCCGTAATATCAGTCCGTGATCTTTCTCTATTGGTTTCTGTAACAGTTGTAAAGTTTCGGGGACAGTAGGTAGTTAGCCTAAGGTCTCCTATCCGCCGTGATGGGGCTGCCATCTTGGGTATAGCTTTCGGGGATAAGCATTTCTTGTTTCAGCCGCTGGATGCCAGGCAGACGCTGTTTGAGCCGCACCTCCATGGTGGACAGACGCTCAGTTATTGTGTAGATGGGGCTGCCATCTTAGATTTAGCTGACACAATACAGCATTTCTTATTCAGCCGCTGGATGCCAGTCAGACGCTGTTTGAGCCGCACCTCCATGGTGAACAGACGCTCAGGCCGTGTAGGCCGAACCCGCTAGGGGCCCCCTTCCCTGTCAGCATATGACCAAAGCTCCCACCGGGGTTGGTTACCCGATCTTCGCTAAGGTTGCTCATATCCCAGGAGACACCACGAGGAGGTAGGGATAGGAGTTACTGGGTAAGAGGCTAATGGACCACTAATGGGGTCTATTTTATCCTTCAAGTACTCGCGGTACTGGTGGTACGCATTACCCAGTCGTTTGCCCCGCTGGCCAATGGCCAGCGGTGATGAAAAGAATATGATACTTTTACATCATCCCCTGCATCCCCATTAGCACTCTAAGAATCCGCTGTCATTCCTGCCTTTGCACATCGAGGGTTTGTGCAGGGCTTATCGACCTCCTCCAGCGTCCTTACTCTGCTGTAGTTCGTTTAGCCGCAATATCTCTCCCTTGGGTTCGATAATTAACGTTTCCAGGGCACACCACGAGGAAGTGAACTACTTCATGCCCCTAGGCAGAGGTAATCACGCTTACCACTACACCACTGGCGCCGCTACACTATTCCACCTTGACAATACAAATTGGACTAACTCGCAGACTAACAATAGATACAAGTTGGACTAACATTTCATACACTGTCATAAACATACTAGAGTCCATTGAATTGCAATGAAGTCTATGCATTCCCAAAGGTTTATACGTTTGTGATGTGCTTGTAATTTTGTAAATTAATTGTAAATTGTAAAGCACCGCATGTCATCTATGTCATCTCATTCGTTTTCATTTGCAACATTCAGAGCTTTTTTTTCTCTTTTATTT